GGGGTTGAAGGTTAACCTTTTACTGAGGGGCCCAGAGTCAGCAGGTCAAAAATATCAGATAATATTAGTTTTATGCGATCATTTATTTGAAAATAAATAAATAAATGAAATAAATAAATAATAATAATAATTTTGCTTCTAAATTACAAATAATTTAATTTGACTTCAATTTCTAGAAGTATTTTGCAGTACTGCATTAAAATGTGAAATACGTTTATGTTTTTTTGTTAAGTTTTTCTGAATATCATTGGCTAGAACTGCACAAACTTTGCAACATTATAATAAGCATTATACAACAAATCAGAAATACATTTAGAATGATCGATTTCTGTTTCATGTGCTTCAAACATCCACATTGTTAAAACTCAGAGTTTAGCTAGGCTATTTTGATAAACTACAGGAGATAATAAATCTTAGACTAAACACACAGCAAAGAGAAGGAGATGTGGTTCATTTCTCTCAGGCGTCCAGCCTGCAGAGCCAACTGCAGCGTTGAAATTAGATGGTGCTTAGCAGACAAAAACAAGTACAGCCTCACCAAACTGTGTCTGTTTCTAGTCTTACATTTATTTGTATGGCAGATATATAAAATAATTTAAAAGTTAAATAAAATAGAGTAGAGACCGTAAAATCTACCTTACTGAATGTCTAAATCACTTTATGAATTTGTTTTTTAACTGAAAGCTGAAACATTCTCACACATTTATGGTTGTGAAGACAGTTAAAGAGACAATGTGTAATTTACTGTTAATCTCTGAAAATATCCATCAAATGTTGAAAATGAATTAAACAACGCCCAGTTGTTGAAAAATATTGGCAGCTTTGTAGCATATACCTATACAACTCGAGAGCGGGTCCAAGTCTGTGAGCGACGCCATATGCCATGTTTCCTCTATGGGAGCCCATGAGGAATAAATGCGTTTGCTGATTTGTAAAAAACAATAACAAAACTTTTGCAGATCAAGTCTTCTTTGTTTTTCTGTTTTTTTAGTACATTTTGAATCATGGCATGAATTTGTTGTTTACACATAAACTTCAGTGGCATCTGCCTCATGCTTCAATAACAAATTGTCCTCTGTCTGGAATCTTCCTTTTCTCTATTTGCCCTTATCAAGGTCTTTAATGACATTCTTTTAGCAACAGATGGTGGCAGTCCAGTGCTGCTGGTCCTATTGGATCTTACAGCAGCTTTCGATACCGTAGACCACGAAGTGTTGCGCCATCGCCTTGAACTATATGTGGGAATTTCTGGGCATGCCCCAAATTGGTTTAGATCATATTTACGTGACAGGATGGTTTGTGTGAGGATGGGTGGTTTCTCATCGGGCTTCTCCCATCTGCCATGGGGGATACCGCAGGGTTCAATACTGGGACCCTTGCTGTTTTCAATTTATGTCCTCCCATTGGGTGACATTTTACAAAAGTTTGGAAATGGATTCCATCTCTATGCCGACGACTGCCAATTGTACTTACCTCTAGATGGCGCCGGTGATCACACGATAAAATATTTTTTGGATTTTCTGGCAGAAATTAAGATATGGTTGGCAGAAAGCTTCCTGTGTCTCAATGGGAAAAAAACAGAGGCACTGTTGTTTGGTCAGAGCAGTAGGGATGGGTACCTTTGACATTTGAATCGATTCTGTACTAATTCCTGGTACCTAGGAATCGATACCGGTACTTAACGGTACCAATTTTCGATACTTTTGAGTGTTTAATATTTTAATTCTCTTTTATAATTAAATATATATTTTTCTCAATATATAACCATATTTGGTAAATATCACAATAAATAACATACAACTGTTTGTATTTTAACATCGTCCTTGTAGTTTTATAAGCTGATAATTACACTGAAGCAAACATCTTTACTGTGAACTAAATTTACTGTGTATCTTCATTCCTTTTGCCTCCTTTTTCTTTGATTTTTTCCTACTGGGAAGTTAGAATTTCTGAGGAGAAAGCGAACGCACCATTAACTAATAACAACGGTGGAAATGAAAGCTAACATATCAAGCTAACGTTATCTTAAACAGTTTATTTAGCTGCTGGAGCAGATTAAAACGATGATGCCTCACACTTTGATCGTTGTCACTGGTTTCATCTTCATCCAATCACCTGTCACATTTAGTAAAGTGAAGCCAAACTTTAGAGCGCGTTCATGTTCTTCTAGTGGGAAATTCGGAGTTCCGAGGAGAAAGCGAACGCACCATTAGCGGAACGGAAGCTAACATATCAAGCTAACGTTATCTTAAACATTTTATTTACCTACCGGAGCAGATTAAGATGAGGATTAGAGCTGAAACAACTAATCGATTTAATCGATTATAATCGATTATTAAAATAGTTAACAACTTTTTTAGTCATCGATTAGTTGTTTAATAATCATATTTTACCGCATAAAGTCTATTTTTTACCACAATCTGACATCGGTTACAATCTGTTAAATTTGCCGCCAGTGTGTGGCAGTAATGAGCCACTGATCTACCAGTGGAGCCGTAGAAGAAGAAATGAGCCAATAAGTGCCCTCGGTTTTCATGACGTATCACGTTACTGACGCTCATCTTGCTGTGAGAGATGGTGGATCAACAAGAAATACGGAAGAAAAATAGAAGCGACAAAACAAGAGAAACCCCGGACAAAAACCTCACGAGTATGGGAGCACTTCACTAGATGCCTTGAAAAGACCGGTGACCTGCAAAATATGCAAAAACCATGGCACGACGGAAGCACGACGTCCCTAAGTGAACATTTGAGACGAAAACGTGGGGGCTGATGCAGCAGAGGAATGTCCGGTAAGTAACAGAAAATAAACAAGCTAACGCAGATCACATTTGGGACTTAGTGTTAGCTGAGTTCGTTATAGTGGATGTTAAACATGTTTTTTTGCCGCGTCAGTTTACGGTGTTCTACTTCTGATTGACTAGATGCAATCGTGAATCTCCTCCGTGTTGTGAATCATGCGCTTGCCAAATTTAGCACGTCTGTTTATAAGAATGTTCTCGTTAAGAGAAAAACGGCACAAACCCATAACTATGTTCCTCATTCAAAAAAGGACAACTCCGCGGTGAAAAATATACAGACGAGCTGTGTCCAGGTGAATATAACGCGGCATAGTTGTACGCTTTCAATTTTTAAATACAGGAGAAATTCAGAAAGTCCTTTTTTTAACTATTAAAAGGCTGTTTTACTATCTAACGCCGTAAAACGCCTCACAACACATTTTTGTCAAATTAAATGATCACTGTATATTGTTAATTAATTCAAATAATGTAATATTGATTTAGTGTTGTAGTGTGTGTGCTGCTTTATTTTATATGTGTACTTAATTCAGTTTATTTGTGTTTCTTATAGAGAAAAAAACAAGCAACGATGGACAACTACATGGGGAACAAGACACTCACCCCCAGCAATGCATACCACTTACAAACTCTATTCCAGATTCTACATTATTTTTTTATGGAATTTACCTCTTATATTTTGATGCCAAAAAATTATTCTGGACTGATATTTTGCACTGTTTAGCTCATTTTACACCGCTGACTGTGTTCATGTGCAATAAAATAGATTGCAGTCAACTGCACAATTCTCTTATGTTTTTCTTTTTCTTAACTGAAATGTATTCATCACTTGTATATGTTAAATAGCTAAACAATAACAAACCGATTAATCGAAAAAATAATCGACAGATTAATCGATTATGAAAATAATCGTTAGTTGCAGCCCTAATGAGGATGTCTCACTTAGATCGTTGTCGCTGGTTTCATCATCACCCAGTTACCCATCACATTTAGTGAAGTGGACCCAAGCTTTAGCGTGCGTTCTTTCTACCATGCTGCTCTGTTTACAACTCTCTCGCAGCGACCGACGATGTAACGCTCTTGCGCATGCACAGCTGTCTAGGCAAGTTCTCGTTATGAAGGACGGGTACCGAAACGAGGCACCGTTTCAAATGATGTGAATCGGTGCTCAGTCGGTACTGTGGAATTCGGTCGGTACCTTAAAAAGTACCAAATTCGGTACCCATCGCTACAGAGCGGACATGTTGATTTTTCAAACGTAGACTGCGGTGAACTGAACCCCTATTTGGGTGTTTCAGCAGTCAACCTTGGCATGAAGATGGGCAGTGCATTCTGCATGGATGCTCATGTGGGTACTGTAGTATCTTCTTCATTTTATCATTTAAGACGTTTGGCTAAAGTAAAGCCGTTTTTATCTAGACGTGACCTTGAGACTGCTGTTCATGCTTTTATTACCTCACGACTCGACTATTGTAATTCCGTTTTATTTGGTGTAAGTAAGGGTACTGTAAACCGGCTGCAGTTTGTCCAGAAGGCTGCAGCAAGATTCTTGGACAACAAAAGGAAGCATGAACACGTGACACCAATTTTGGCTGCTCTCTACTGGTTGCCTGTTGATTTTAGAATTTGTTTTAAACTTCTTTTAATGGTATTTAAGGAGCTGAATGGTGTGGCTCTAACCTATTTGACGGAGTTGCTGCAGCCATATGTTCCGGCGCGGTCACTCCGCTCTGAGAACCAGCTGCTGCTTGTGGCTCCTAAGGCTAGTTGAAGTTGAGAGGGGACAGGGCGTTCTCTGTTGCAGGTCCGAAACTGTGGAACGCACTGCCCCTAACTATTAGGGGCACTCCATCAGTAGCAGTTTTTAAAATGAGGCTGAAAACCTACTTTGATGATCTGGCTTTTAATTCTGTGGGTTAGCAATTGTTAATATTTTATATTTTGTAATTCTTATTTGTGGTTTTAATTATGTCTGTGGCGCTATATGTTTTATTGTTTTATTCTTTTGTTGTACAGCACCTTGGTGGCATGCTCATGCCTGTAAAGTGCTTTATAAATAAAGGCTGAGTTGAGTTGAGTATTTGTTTTATTTCATCACCTGATTTTCTTTTTCCTACAAGTTGCTGCCTCTTCTATTTTTCTCTACTCCATGTTCACTTAATCTCTTTTCCCTTTTCAGCCTGACTATTTTTCATGCACAGTGGAAAACGGCTTTGCCCATTTGGACACTGGTGCTCAGGAATCTGGAGCAAACCTGCACAGTGCATGCATGTTTAGCACAAGAAAGCAAGCTCACATTGGCTGTTTCTCAATACTCGTGTAAACTTGAGTACTCAAGTCCTTGTGAAATGATGGTCCAAGTACTGTTCCAGTTCTAAGTACATAACATATCAAATTCCTTCCCAGATGTGTTCTTGCTCCACTCATTACATTGAGGATGCATCAATGCATCCTTCTGCGGACTGATTATATATATATATATATATATATATATATATATATATATATATATACATACACACACACACAGAACAAAAATATAATTGCAACACTTTTGTTTTAGCTCTTATTTTTCATGAGCTAAACTCAAACATCTGAAAATTTGTCTATATACACAAAATGCCCATGACTCTCAAATATTGTTCTGAAATCTGTCTACATGTGTTGGTGAGCACTTTTCCTTTACCAAGATGATCCATCCCACCTCACAGGTGTGGTATATCATGGGGCTGATGAGACAGCATGAATAATGTACAGGTGTGCCTTAGACTGCCCACAGTAAAAGGCCACCCTGAAAAGTGCAAACCCCTTATCAATATAAGCAGGGCCTGTTGGTAGTTTATCAATTTTGATTAACCGTGAACCAAACGTTATATAAATAATATGTATTCATGGTTACTTTATTATATAACAGACAACCTACACTTTTATTTTTATGCCAGGTCATTTTTTCAACCGTATGACAAGCAGCGCTTGTTACCATGACGGAGTACAGTTCTGTTCCAAATGCTGTCCTCTTCCTCCCATACTCAGTAGGATTAACTTTCTGATGTACTTGCCAAGAACATACTTGTCAAGTACACAAGAACGTACCAGCGTCCTTGGGTATTGAGAAACGACCACTAAGTGTCTTTTATTCCCTAATTTCTTTCCCTTTTTTTTCCTTTTCTTCTGTCTGAATCATATTTCTTTGATCTTATTTCTGATTTCTCATTTATTTCCTCTTTATTGCCACCCTGTGATCCCTCTAGTGTGTTTGTGTCTGTGGTTTCCAGGTGACTGTTTCAGTAATGTGTTCTGATGAGGCTCCTGCCCTCACAGACACTTTTTAATTATCAGGACAGCAGGTAGTTGTCCATCTCTCTGTCCGTCCTTCTCTCCCCCAGATCAGAACGTTCCTCCTGGCACTTGCTTTTCTTATGGAAACAAGGAGAGCCGTGCTGATGTTCCCACCCTGATAGCCAAGTGTCCTGCTGTCACACACACACAATCGCACTCCACTCCAAAACGTTGAAGAGATTAAACTGACAAATGCCTTAAATCATAAAGTGGACACCTCCTTTTTGAGCAGACACACAGGTGGCAGCTGATGATTTTGAAAGTCTTTGTCAGAAGATGAGATCATCTAGTCTTTGTTGGTCCCCCCCCCCCCCCCCCCCCCCACACACACACACACACACACACACACAGATGCCATAAATAACCACACAAACACAAGTGAGTGTCCACTGAGAGCTGGAACAGCTGAGATGAATGTAGTATGAGATGCAGTAGGAGAACTGATAGCTGATAAGAGAGGATGTGCACGTGTGTGTGCATGTGCATGCGTATGTGATGTCAGACTGTGTAATACAAGTGAGAATGAGAAGATGTGGAAAGTGTCTGAGGTCACTTTCCCATAATTTACTTCAGGCTTCATGACTTCTTGATTTTTACTGCAGCCTGAAACTCATCCTTTTCAGCTGCTTCATCACAACAAATCGCAAATACTCTTTAAAATTGGTCTGGAAAATGTCTGTGTTCACCAAAAATGGTCAAAAACCAAAGTTGCATGAATCTTTACAGATTAAAGACACTTCAGGATTAACTGATTGCTAATCTACATCGTCTCCACAGCCACCACCATCCTCTGCTCTGAAAGTTGAGACGATATTATCTTCACACGCCTTTAAGCTGGTTTTAAGATAGTTCTGGAGCCAGTTTAATATTAAACCCCAAATTCTCTTCAGTTAATATTTCAATGTAAATGTCTGATTGTGTTTGGTTCAAATGCAGATTCTTATCCAAACATTTAATAAAGTTGTATTTTTGTAAGGATAATAATGATTTTATTTATAATTTTAACAGGAAAAGAAAAGCATGTAAAAAGGGAGATCCCAGAGCGAGTACAAAGGATGGACAGCGGTGAGGAGAGGGGTTAAAAAAGAAGGAAAGTAAAAACAGATGGATGAACAAAAAAAGATAAAGATAAAAGAGGTTGCTGCTGCTCTGGATAAAAAAGTAATGACGCAGCATGATGACAGGTTTACTATTTGTCTGCAGTAAAAACTTCTCTGCTCTGTTTTCTCTGTGATGAAGAAAAGAAGGAAAAACATGAAGGAAAACGAACAAGTGAAGGCGATAAAGAGGTGGAAAGAGAGAAATATTTGCAGAATAAAGACGGAGAACAGACGAGAGCACTTGAGAAGGACACCAGCAAGAAAACCAGTTTATTTAAATGGTAAATGGTCTGTATTTGTACAGTGCCTTCTTAGAGTTCTACAACCCTCCAAGGCGCTTCACAATGCAATCAGTCATTCACACATTCACACACACATTCACACATGGGTGGGGATAAGCTACGATGTAGCCACAGCTACCCTGGGGTGCGCTGACAGAAGCGAAGCTTGCCGAACACTGGCGCCACCATTCCCTCCGACCACCACCAGCAGGCCAAAGACACAACAGCAGCATTCTTTGGTCGGAGCCGGGATTGAACCTGCAACCTTCTGATTACTGGACAACCCGCTCTACCTCTTGTAACTGGATGGTTGCAGGTTCGATTCCGGCTCTGGACAGAGAATTCTGCTGTTGTGTCCTTGGGCATGACACTTAACCCACCTTGCCTGCTGGTGGTGGTAAGAGGGACCGGTGGCGCCTGTGCTCATCAGCACTCTGTCAGTGCACCCCAGGACAGATGTGGCTACAATTTAGCTCATCACCATCAGCATGTGAATGTGCACATACTGAGTGCAAAATGAAATAAAAAATGATAGGGATATTTCTGACATTTGAGATTGCATTGCTATGTAAAAGTCATAAATAATTACGATTTTACCCAATATTTGTTCTGACTGGAGAAACATAAAGGATGTTCTTCAGGACTGAGGAGCTTTTGGCTCTGAACTCAGCCAAGAGCAAACTGGATTCATGTCATTTTAGAACAAATATAATCTCCGAAATATCACATTTTCACCTGATTCATCTTCATGCTCCCAAAACATGGAATCACGTGGCTGTTTAGAAGCATGGCTCTCACAAACAGCAGCAACCTTTAACATTTCCAGATCATTAAGGGGTCAATTCTGGCTAAATAACTGTAAACCGACAGGTTGTAGAAGTTTTCAATAAAAAATTACAAAAATAAATAAATAAATAAATAAATAAACTTGCTGTAAAATTTGACCAGTTATTAGTATTATTTTGTTTTACAGCAGTTATAAGACAGTTTTTCGTTATGTCAAAAACCTCACATCTTAAAAGAGATTAAACAAAATAAACACATACAGATGAACTCAAA